AATAAAACCACACTTTACAGTTATTTTGGGGAAATTTGCTAATATGATTAGACTAAATGCATTTTATAAACGTTAGATTTCTCACTTCGTGAAAATAATTATTGCGATAATAATAACGAAGTCAATATATGCGGTGCAACTAACAGAGTACAATGATCTCATAAATATGCTGTTCTTATTAGACACTGATTCAGTAATTGAAAATATGCCATATTCCGAACATGGCATATTCGAAGTAGGCACGAAAGGGAACTTCTATAGCACTGTTTTGTTTTATTAGAAGGGAATCTCTATTTTATCTTGGATAAAGTGTCTTACGGCATATATTATAGACCTAATAGTACATTATACTGAGACTCAAAATACACATCGCTTATAGTAGATAGTTGCTTTTACTCTTCTTCACATAAACCTCCAAAGAAAGTAAAGATGCTGTACTGAGTTTTCTTTACTAGATATGGTAGTGCATGCCTTATTTATTACTTCTTTCGAGAGACAAAATGACACTGTAGCAACACTTACTGGTGTATCCTCTAAATGTCGAAAAACGAGTCATTTCTGTAGCATATATTTATATTTTGTTTCTATTCAGCATTTCAATGCCTCCCAGTGATCATTTTGGCATAATACAGAAAACGGCAAATGCCACCTGTTGATTACTTGATTTCTTTCCCTCGTGAATGTGCCTTTAATTTTGGGAATAGCTTCAAACCACTGGAGACCAGGTCTACCCGTAAATTTATCATTTTAAGGCCTGCTTGATATAGGCCAGCCATAGGAATGCAGGCGATATGACATTATCTTGATGGAGCAATACGCTGCTTGTTATCTTTGTCTAATGGTTCTCTTTAGAATATACTTACAATTTTTGCATAACAGGAACTACACACGTTCTTACAGTCGCCACAATATTTTGAGGAATTTGGTCGTCATATATAAACCAAACAGCGCGTAATTACAAAACGATTGAGATATATACTTACTATTTTGTTAACGTACCCCTGCTAAGATCACATCAGTAACACCAACAACCTGAAGTTGGCTCTATCCAAAGATAAGCAAAAGCTTCCTTAACATTGGGCCCTACAATGAGCTCTCGTACCTGACGGAGATGTCTAGAGATGCTTCTCTATTTCTGGGAGTGTTCTCTACCAGTCCACTTCTCAAGACCAGATGCCTCGCTACTAGACTATCCAAAGCCTCCCTGCATTGCAATACAGGAATTGAAGTAATCTTGCAGGCACTTAGTGCCTTCATCGCAGCCTGGCTGTCGGAGAAGATTGTTACTCTTCTCCTAGGCCCTTCCCGCTCCGAAATTCGGGATACGCAAGCCAGAATCGCATAGCTTTCCGCCTGGATAATATTGGTATATCTATTGAGAGGCAAAGATAGCCTTTATGCACCACTTCCTTCAGTGACCTTCCGGCTTTCGGTGTCCCACGATGCCTTTGTCGGATACGCCTCTACTATGAGAAGGACGGGATCCTCCCTTTGAAATCAACTAAGATAGCAGCGCGATACTTGACAGGATTCAAAAAGGCTCAGCCCTGACTCCACAGTCGGTCGTGAATTTTATTAAGTTTAGCTATAGTAGTTTCTGTTCCAATGCAAAGCCACCAAAACAGGGTGTCACACAAAGAGATGGACGTACTATCGTCGTATCACCACAATGCATTGCGAGCCTTGTTAACCTTGTACTCAGAATGTTCTCTCCAATTCGGTCTACGGTCCAAGATAATTTCGAGTTATTTCACTGATTCGATCAGAACAAGTCTAGTCACACAGGAGGCCGTCAAACTTCCTTCTCCTAGTTAATAGAATCAGCTCGGTCTTTCCTGCTTTGACAGAAAGATCTAATTCCCTAGACCACAATTCCACAACGCGCAGAGCGCCTCATATAATCTCATAGATCGTTCTATCTATCAACTATTCTTTCTTGAACACAAAAGATGAAAGGACAGTCGGACCAGCAGTATAACTAGCTCTGTTGGATTTAGTAATAAATGCTACTTCAGCCTGCCGCCAGCTACTAGGTGTGAAGACTGTGGCCACACATACTCGAAACACCTACAAAAGGTAAGGTACAACTGAATCCCGCTCGTGCTGTAACATGGCCAGAAATACGCTGTCCCAACCCGGACTTTTGTATGGAGCAAACAAATCGATCGCCCATACTCTTCTATCAAATGTGCCACGCACCAGTCCTCCCCTGAGGGCCAGGATTCTCTGGAGACCCTTCTAATCTCCCTTTTATATTCTTGTAACGCCTTCTTATACTCTTCCCAGTGTGGAGTGCCTCTGCTGTGCTTAATTCTACCTCGAATTTTGGGCACAGCTCGTTCCCTATCCTCTAGCTCCTTAAGATTTAAACTTCGCGTATCAGGCAGTTTTACCTATACGAAGCTCTCAGGTCTCTTTTCTCGAATTCCAAAGATGCGTCAACAAAATTTCTTTCCATATTTGAATATTCCTTTCAAATGAATTTTTCAATCACTGAGTAAACCTACATTTCGTTTTTACGTTTTATCTCTCTAAAGTAGTTATTCTTTTTTGTCGTTATCACCAATATAATAACTATCTTTACTTTTAAAATGTCTACCTATTACCTAATCCCGTTTTCTTTCTCTTTCCAGGGAAACCTGCAAGGTAGACACCCCTTTTGTGAAAACCTATGCCACTTTAGGGTATCTATAACCTAGACAGAAAACTCATCACAGCAAAAATACCAACAAAAGGACTATTATCTACAATATAAAGACCCTCTTTGCTCTTATAGTTACTATTCCCTAGTCTCACCTTGAACTGTTCTCGCTCTAGTTGTATAATTTTAGTCTTTACCCCATTTACCGTTCAAGAAAAATAAAACATTGGTGACTGAAAAGTTTTAAATAGTTCGAAGTAAATAAAATATAGAATATACGTACATTACCTATTATAATGAGATTAGGAAAATAAAATTCATATTTTTTTGGAAATGTTTATAAACGTACCATAGGGCATTTTATGTTTCTCAGTACAACTGATGCATAGATCGAGCATATTGCTTATACTTTATCTTGATTGACTTCTCAGTTAAAAGTGACAAGTACGCAAGACAGTATTTGTCGGATTTCAGCGTCACCAATAGTAGGGCGCAAAATTGTTCCGAAAATTCATGAACGACCATTTCCTATTGAGAACTAGCATTAGGTAATTTTTAATCACGAGGTCAAGAAAAATAACATAATATTGAAGCATGTTCGTTTTAAGGCTACGAGGCTGGTATGGAAAAGCCTTAAAAATGTGATGACTTGTGTTCAAACTTTGGATTTTATCTCGCAAAATAACATAAATTGCCCTATAATAGTAGCAACAATAAGGTTTTGTTTGCTCACAATTTTTACTGCTGTTAGCCGAATATTGAACAGATGGGAACGAGCACTGTCACATAAAACAAATCGTTTTTCGATTTTGCAAATGTCACAGCACTATCACGGGAAAATATTTCATCATGAAAAACTTATATCAAACAGGTATTTTCGGATGTACAGTATGTTGTTTCTTGAGAAACATCATTTGAACTGTGAAAAACAAAAGTAGTACTGCACAGAATAGGAAGTAATAAAGTATTTTTCAGTAATTTGGGAATAGTTCTAACTTAGATTTTACAAAAGATACCTGCAGCTACGCTTGAGCTAGCTAAGCATACTATCTATTATGCGTTGGAAATACAGGGTATCTATCTAGCCACAAAATAAAAAATAGAAAGTTTATCGATATATTTTAAGTAAATTACATGGAACATATTGCAATGATGCATTCTTGCTAGTTTGACTAATATAGTTGGAGAAAGAAACCTAATTCATAAAGGAAAAATAGCGTGTCATTGATTTGAATGAGAAATGTCTGCTTCCCTTCTACAGAATTGCACAATTTTTAAACTATTAGGCAATGAACTGTGGAGTCGTATGCTAAATAAAACAATTAAGTTTTCAGATTTATAAAAAACTGAGAAAATAGCTACGCAGTGGATACAATTGATACCTTGACAGATAGATCTTAAGGCATTCATTCCCTCTACTGCTTTTTTTTTTGTTAATGAAGATCAGAAACTACATAAAATAGTTGTCTTCGAGCTTAACAGGGTGATCGTTTCGGAGTGTGGAGCAATGGAACCCAGGCAACAAAAGCTTCTGTTTTCAAGATGAAATGTACATAATTCATTTTAAAAAAGCTTGCAGTCTGAGAGTTTGAAAACTGTTATGGAAATCTGCGTTATTCTTGTTGCTTATATTTTTTTGGCTAGCTGGAGAGAGTCCTAAAAAGCTATAAAATACCAGATAAAATCAGTCAGATTTGGATCATATTTTCCAAAAATCTCCGATGGAATCTGTCGAGGAGACTGATACCACTCCAAAAAGATCAGTTCTAATTACTATACTATATATAATACTATATATTGGCAAATGAAGTATTTGAATTAATCTCTGATACCCTGATATCCTGATTACAGCACTGGACGCCATCCACTACACACTATCCGACTTATCTACAGCCCGTGCGATGTATATTAATTTTTCAGTATACTCTTGTGGAATCGAGTCATTTACTTTCCACTTATTATTTGGGACTACTGTTACTGCTACTACACTACAACCGTTGGGCTTTGCCCAAATGCATACAAATAAACAAGTTTGCAGCATTATTATTTCCAGACAGACACAATAGATCTGTCGTTGACTATAATAAATATACTGTAAATTACGTAACTACTGCTATATTGCAGATATCTTAGACCATGTTCGTCTACTCTAAGATTGAACTGAAAATGTGAACAATCGCAGCTATTTAATTTCGAGCAAGAATATGTATTTAGAAACTTACTGAATGTTTCTTGAGATCCTACGTTTTTTAATACGAATCAACATCTAAAATTGTTACTGTATAGGTATGTACAGACGTGAGGAGAATTTTTCACCAAATTTGGTGATCTTGAGTCGTCGTGATGGTAGATTTGAAAGATGTTGTTAAGCGTATATTTAAAGAGACGCTCATTCAACATGGTATATTTCTATTTCTGTAAAATGGAAGCAGATATGAACAAGGAACGGTAAAATCTGCCGTCATTGGTCAGACATTCTACCGTAGTGTGACCTCCTTGAGCCCTTGGGTACGACGGAGACAAGTCTGACCTTTGGCTGCGGCACGGTCCCCTTAACACACAATGCAACTTCAGCAGTTTATATTATTATAATATTGTACGCAAATATTTCTCTAATGTACGCAAACGTATTTAAACAAAATAAGAAAAGATTAATTTACACATATAAACGTATATTTAGGTGTCTAACGTTAAGACATATATAAAAAATGGCATGAACTGGATTACTGGTGCAAGTTTCTAGTTAGCCGTAAAAAAATAATGTGGATGTTATAAGTATATATTACACTTCCCTATATACTATTATTATAAGCACCAACGTATTATATTATATATTCTTTAAAAATGAAAAGTGTCGTAGCTTAGATGTATAGCATGTGTAATGTTATGTTTTGGTTGCAGAGTGTGTTAAGGAGACAGTATCAGCGTTCCTTGTTTTGTTGGTAGTCATGAGTAGTAGTTTCAAGAAAAAGTAACTAATTTTGCGTACAGGGTGCTGAAATAATCTGGAATATCGGAAATAGATATAGCACGATAAATATTAGTTACAGAGGTACGGGTTTGATCTACAAGATCTTTTGGAACAGGGTATGTACTCGTAAACGTATCAAGGAAGGCTAAAAAGCCTACTCTAGTCAGCTTAAACGATTGTTTTGATGTTAGAAAATGGAGACACATTGAAAATATCAAAAAACCTCATTTTTTGTTTGGACATATTTCGATACTTTCTTTTTTCCTTTTCAAGATTAGATATGCAAAGTGAAAATATTGATTTCCGTTGAAATCGTATTCAGTTGAATTGACAGTAGTAGCTTGACATCAAGACACTTCGCTCTTGTTAGTTGAATTGGCAAACATTAGAAACAATAGTTGTCGCACAGAGATTTCCGATATTCTAGACATTCGAAATTCAGCTTTATTATTTGTATTTGCGTGTAATATGAGATAGTTCATATATCCATCTTTTTGCTTTTTTGAGTCTCACAAGAAAGTTAGGGTTTTTAGTATTAATTTGTAAACTAAAATTAATATATTTCAAAACGCTCCATCATATGTTTTCAATGACTAACTACAGGTACTTGTTTGATATAAGCCGACTGAAATAAATATGTTTCATGTAAATACCAATCTATGGAAAAGTCAACCTTAAGAAGTATAAAAATGATAGACTGACAAATAATGTTTGTATCTTGATGAAGTTTGCAAATACAAGACTAAACTGTTTCCGGTATTTATTTTTTAGTACTACTAGATGTTAGTAGATGGTATTGGTACGACAACAAAAAATAGATAACCAACCAATTGGTTGATAGTATCTACATCTTATTTCACGAGTATCCATCACGGAACAATGACAGCTAGTTATCTAGTAATATTTCAAAATTCCCCATATCGGCACAGGACACATAATTCTGACGGATCCGTCAACGTCAGGTAGCCAGAGCTGTATTTTGTTTTGGTTTTTTGTAATCTACAGATTCATTTTTTACTTGCTAACAGCTCTTTAATTTAGAAAAGTTCATTTGCATGCAAAAAACAAAACGCTACAAATAAGTTTTACTAGATTTACACACGATTTACTATTGAAAGCGACGCAGACTAACACAAAAAAGTCACTTGCTGATCAGCTGTTCACCTTAGTAGACGTTGAAGCGTGATGAATACTCGTGAATAGGGTGTAATATATCGACGGAAATGTCTTAGAGTGGGGTTGAAGTAAAAGTATGTGAGGTGGAATATAGCGTAATAAAATAAATAGAAACGTGTGCTTATTAATCCTATAAATATATTCTTTAGGCGTAAAGGTGAATTTAGTAAAGGTATTGAGATCTGATTCTGTTTAAGGGGTTTGTAAGCATAAACACTTGCTTTTAAGTTAGTCTAACGTTTTTTATTTCTTAACTGATATTATTGCATTAAACATTTATAGACTGGTATACAACATGATAAAGTAGGTTTTGATGGAATATGGTGAACTTAAAATTAAAATGTGACATATGCAAGACAATTCATGTATTCTGAGTAAACAAACATGCGTATTTTCGAAAGTAGCATGAAAAATGTAGGAGAGATTATTTGCAACATAATTATAATATATTTCTCATCATAAAGTGATAGAGAAAATAATAATAGTTTCAACTTATTAAACGCAACTTTATAGACAGTTTTGAGATAAGAGATAAGCGAAATAGATTATATGACTTATTTTTTATGGAAGAGACGATAGAGATGTCAATATTGGTGACCACATGAGGGGAAAGGGGATAAAGAGAGAAGAACTGCTATAAACAAGCTACAGGCGTACACAGTTGAGTTTTAGTGAGAGCATTTTTTCGTTATTGTGTAGTGAAACTATGTAATCCAAGTTCACCACGTTTATTATACAAAGTTTGGGCTTGTTAAGCTTCTCTCAACAAGAAATAATATACTTAAATCCTAATATTTGTGTTTTAATGAAAAGAGTATAATATTTATATACTGTGTGGGTAGGATTGTGAGACATATTATAGAACTGTAAAAGATAAGTAAAAAAAAAGGTGGCATATAAGGCTGCAAAATACAATCTGTTTATTTTGTGATTTTAATATATACTTGTGATTAGTGGACCATGCCTTGCGTATATGGACCGATCTCCAGTATTTTTGTATGCTATTTTCGATTGCTTAAGCAATATGAGTTTGTTTAGTACCGGCATCCTTGCTTACCTGATATTTCACAAATAGGTGACAAAAATTAAATAATTTCGAAGCTCAGAAAGGAGTGTTTTAAGAAAAGTGGTCCCAGAGTGATTAAAAATTATTTGTTGTGGCTCAGTAGGATAGATAGAAATTTGACGAAAGGTCACAGTTTATGTTCTACATGTGGTGGCTGGTTACTGTTAGATTGGTTATAGTTCTTTTGAGAACTTGTGACCTTAAAGAAATAAAGCAAATGCAGTTTTCCGATAATATTTGCAGAATATTATCAGTTTATGGGTACCTATTCTTACTGAGATATGACAAGTAGATCTTGTATCACTGAGATTTTTGTATTTCCACTGTGTTACCTTTACGACTTGAACGTTCTTGGAAGGAACGATTCACTATTTAATCGCAAACAGCCGCTCTATTTTGATCGTAGGTTACAAAAGGAGCGAAATGCAACCATGACCAGGTTGATATTGTTACTGAGAGTTCCTCTGATCAAAATACTTCCGTAGGCATCTGTCGAATACTAGTAGAATGCTGAAAAGTGGTATTTAGAGCACATAGATAGAAGTGTTCAGGCTTATAAGATATGTTTCAAAGAACAAATTGTGAGTGAATGGTAGCGCTACTTAATGTATATATCTGTATTCTAGGCTGCTAAAAATATATATGAGTACCTTTATCACTTTCATTTTGGATAAGATTTTTTACATAGTTTCGAATTAGGTTATATCAACACTATTTCACATTAGCTGTCACTTATTTTTATTTATCTATGATATCTGTGGAAATATGTCATGAGCAAGACACAGAGAGAAATAGCTTTACGTGGTTGACCTGGCGATGTTTTCAAGGTCACATTAAAAACTAACAATGAAGAGATCATTTTGCCTTGATACTGAAATTTAATTGACTCAAAGCACATATAGATGCGTACCTCATCATTGTAACCTTGGTATATTTCTTTGAACATTTCCTATTGTCCAAGAGCCTGATGGTCATTGAAGAAAGTAGGACAAGTAGATAAGCAATTGTACTTCTCGGATCGTGCCAAGCACATGAAAATTTCCTATTTGGTTTGATTTGACAAAGAACCTCATTGCTCACTTAATTAGGAGCACTCTATCTCTTTGAAACAAAATTGCTTTGATCCGCGTAGTTTTGAATCAAGGTCATAATTTCTGGAGATTTTGTGAATGTGGAATCGAGAGATCTTGTTTTGAGTGTCTACGCATCTAAGGCAATGTGTAAATCAAAAGTTATTGATCTCATCTCTCTACAGATGAAAACTGATAAAAAATGAAAATTATGTACACATTTCTAATTCAGTTATTAACTTCTTAATGTTAATAGGGATACGTCCTCAGCATTGTGAAGGTACTCAAACAAATAGATTTATCATATGGCCTATCGAAATATATTTGTTGATTCGTGCAGAACAAAAATGTATTGTGATTGTTATATATGCTTTTATCGGATTTATTAAGGAAGAAACAAAATAAGAAAGGCCTCTATGAAAAACAATATAGTGCATGAGTGAGTGTTAATGTAAATACCTATAAAGCTCCCCATAAGGTGAGGAGTGTGAATACTCAATTGTATTTTATTAAATTCCATGCAATGTTACTAATTCAAGACATTGCCATCAGTAAGTCAACAGCTATTTTAGAAAGATGACGCAAGTTGAGTTAGCACAACTCGCGGATTCGAAGTAGAGTAACTCAATGTGGTGTTCTCAACCATTATAGCTACTTGTTCACGCATGACTAATAAATTTGAAAAAAATAGTGAATGAAAAAAGTAAAATTGTGCATGACGTGGTTGAAAGAGATCGGGCGACGAGCTGTTGATTCGGAAATGGACAAATTGCACTATCGAAGAGATATACAGATTGAACTAAGTATAAGCTAGAATATTTATGTCAAGTTATTGGAAAACCTCATTGTCTTAGTTCCGATTTTCACGCACGCTGAAGTGTCAGAGACAATTAAGCTGGATGCTGAAGTAGGTACTACAGATACTTTGAAAATAATGCAATGACATTTTGATGATGCACCTAGAAACTTGAACAAATGTTTTGTGTGATTAAACCTGGAAAGCATAATATAATAAGAGGTTTTGTAGTTGCTGATTTCGTAGAGTTGAAATTTTTACTTTTGTACCTAACTTTGCCATATCGACAAAATATGCCCAAATACAGTTTTTGGAAAATATCTACATTCTGATTTGTTTTACGATGAAAAAGCTATAATTTGTGGTAAATAATTAAAATTTTCGCCAGGTAGCATAACTTGTACATTTATTCATTGACTAGATCTTGCGTCGTGAGCTCGGTTCGGTCCTGTCTTCTTTTGGCCAGCATCCACAGTAGTACAGTCAGTGTATGAAGTAGATCTTTTAAATATATGCGTGGATGTGGTTTCATTTCACAACTGCATGTAAAATTTTGACAATATTCAAATCTTTCATCATCATTGTAGGGTCAACGTTGAATTTCAGGAGATATTATAAGAACTCTCATTTTTATAATCCTTTTAGATCATATTTTTTCTAAAGATCCAATTTAACAAATAACTTTCCTTGTATATATCATTATTTTCCAATGGCCTCATTATAAGGAAAAGAAAAAGGTGGGAGATAAATACTTTTGGATTGATGGACATGATCGCTAGTTGACTTTCTGATGCCAATGTGATTCGCTATCTTCAGATAAATTAATGTGTCTCTAGTATCAGAAAAAATATTTAAAATGTGGTGTAACCGTTAGAAAAAACGGAAACTGCCCGACACTTTAAAATTGTTAGTGATGTATATAGTTTTATAATATTAGCCATTATACAATAATTGAGAGCGCAACTTAATTGTACTTAAGTTTTTATTAGAAATTGTTGATAGATAATG